CACGGAGGGCAATAAAGAACAACCAGTAAGATGCAAGAGTTAAAGTAGGCGTGAAGTGATTCCAAACTGTCTTAACTTCCTAATGTAGTAGGTTAGACGGAACATTTCCTCAGAAAATGACAAAATATGTGATGACCAATGAAGGTAAGAGGAAATAGCTATTCTATTTCAGTGCTCTCTCCACTACAAGCATCATGTGGACGAACTAGTTCTTGTAGATCACACTGTTTATGCCTCGAGTTAACTGTCTGACATTGAGGGATTTAAGGTACGATCATTCAGCTTAGACCACTGACTGATATCCGATAGAAAGCTATGCGTCGGTGGCACAGTGGTTAGGACTCTCGCCGACCATGCACATGGTTCGAGGTTCGATCCCTTGCCGATGCACACCTGATATCTATGGTCGGCCTGCAAAATTTGGGCCACCGATATCCATGCTGAAAATACCATACTTGTACCAAAAGTACAGTGTGGAATCAAGCTGTAAATCAAAAAAAAAATCAATCAATTTGTGCAGTCAGATCGGGACGTAACTACCAACGCGACAGTCAGGCCATCAGCTTATTCAACGAAGTCTTTTTCATCCAAAAGACTCAAGTCGCGTTTGAAGAAAGAAAACTGAAAAGCAGAGGAAACAGCCCCCTGAGGGACTCCAGTTTCAGTAGGCAGTCAAGCAGAGAAAGATTCATCTTTACACAGAGTATACTGCATTCTGTTAAGGAAATAAGAATGCAACCAGTTAACATCCAAGAACTGGGTTTTTGTCATTTAAGACTGATTTAACAAAAGGCATCTGCATACAGAGTTAAAAGCAGATGTGTAGTTAGTTAAAACCATCCGCCGTCTTGAGTTCTGGATAGCTACTTGGGGGGGGGGCAGGGGTGGGGGAGAATGGTAATATCATACATCAAATGCAGTATTGAAATCATTTCTGTCTGGTAGTAAGTACTACTGGTTAGTATGAGGGGTAGTCTACTATTGATTTCAGTGAATCAATAGTACATCGTGTCATGCAGTTTTGCTTACTTTCTTGATGACCATTTATTATTGTGCTAAGTTAAACTTTAAGTACCTCTAACTACCAATCAGAGAATGACTTCGAACGTACTAATCACATGAAGGAGACATTTTCGTGTATGTTATTATTATATTATTATTGCTCCCTTGGGTTCCTAGTGGAACATACGGCTTCAACTGCACGTCTCCATTCTCTTCTGTCCTCTGCTGTACTTTTCACCTGAATCCATGTTAGTTAGTCCATACTGTTTCAACTCCTCTTCACACGATCTCCTCCATGTCACCCTTGGACGTCCCACACGCCGCTTCCCTTTCGGGTTCTACTCGAGGGCTTGATGCGTGATGTCACCCAGCGGTCTCCTCAGCGAGTGTCCGATCCATCTCCACTTTCTCCTGCATATTTGTTGGGTGATTGGTTCTTGCTTTGTTTGTTCCCATAATTCGTTGTTGGTGATTCTTTCCGGCCCGGCCATCTGATCTTCAGTACTGAGCGAAGACAGTTGTTAATAAAGGTCTGCAACAGGTTATTGGAAATATTCTTTGTGACCCACCCGCCAAGTTTCTGATCCCTATAGAAGAGCTGACTGACTTGACGTTTGTATTGAAAATCCTACCGAATCTTGTTGTTGATGCTGAGTGACGAAGATTTCTAGATTGGTTTCAGGTTGTTGAATGTGTTTCTCGCTGGCCTTCCCGATTCTCGCTCGATTTGACACCTTTGTCCGTTTCTCCTGTAGTTGAGACAATGCTCCCTAGATAAGTGAATGAAGTAGCCTCTTTCAAATCCCTCCCGTTGATGGTGATTGACGTTGGATGTTGTTGCTGTTGTTGGTTGGTTATTTTCATAACTTTTTCGTGTATGGCAAAACATATTTTTATGGAAGAAATGCATAAATACTGTAGAAAAGTGTTACAAAGGACACCTTCCTCTCATGTGTGATAAAAATAGCTCTCACTCTTAGGCAGGAGTGTCAACAGAGTGGAATTTCATTGTGGAGTAAAATTCATTTTGATAAAGTCTCATAGTGTTATGCAGTAATATTTATTGAGCAATAAATTGTGCTAGATATGTTGTCATCAGTAAATATTACTGTATAACAACACTGTATGAGACTTCATCAAAATAAATTTTTACCCTGCAGTGGAATTATACTCTACCACCACAATGCACAAGGTTTATTCTCTTATGTCAACAGAGTCATTTAACCATATTCTACGCATGTAATTGTTTAGGTCTTCTAACCCTAACAATAACCTTAATCTTTACTGAACCTAACTCTAACGTGAAAATATCCCCCAAGCTAATCTTCATCTAACTTGGACCAACCCTAATGTTGCCTTTATTAGGTTAATCTAACCTTAACTTGTCCTTAGCTTAAAGCAGAACTTATTCTTTCCCACACCTAAGCTTAAACTTGCCGCCAGATATCCCATTGAATAGCATAACACACTTCGATGTGAGCATATTTTATTGATGATGACAACATTTCACTAACTGACTCAGTCAGTGAACGTTTCAAGGTCACTGGTGCGGTTGCACTCCATTGGTAGTTTAGTTAGTGGTGCTTAAAGTTTAACTTAGTCATCATTGTATCAAGTGAATCATGTGTTGTGAACTGAATAATCTTCAGTTTCCAAAGGAAACTGACTTAGAGTGAATTATCTTTCACCTCCTCGAATTGTGCCATCTGTGAATTTGACATTTCAACTCGTTTGCACTGCCAGCATTTCATTTAGTTCTTTATTTTCTATCTATATATATATTGCTATTTGAATTTATAATATATTTATATACACTTATGATATCCTCTAAAGGTAGGCTTAATTATTAATTAACGGGAATTAGCTGGAGAATTGATGAGTGCTCATTTAAATAAAGAAACAACACCAACAACAACAGAGGTTTGCGCAGAATAAAATGGTACCATAATCGCTTATTTTGTTCGCTTCTCACCAACTATTGCTTACAGCTTAAAGACATTCGTTATTAAGTTGATGTACACACAGATTTCAAATTTATAAAAGACAAAATATTCTTTTCGATAATTTCCTCCGCTTCTGGCTATACAATTATATATACGTATATGTTTATATACATAGAATGTTATTCCAGAATAGTAGTCAATAACAATTTCGGCGTATTTTTTAAATAATATCGATTTGTAAAGTAAGATCACAATGGAATTACCATAGTTCATTAAAGATGCTTGAATTATAATAATAATAATAATAATAATAAAGATATAATAGCGAATAGAATATCAACTAAATTCAGGGAAATTTCTATAAAAAACTGAGTATCATACAAACCTTGATTGACGGTCAAGGTAAGGACAATGTCTGAACTAACTTCTTTTGGACGCATAAATTAGGCTTCTTAATGTGGATCCCAAACAACCAGCCTCAGCAATATGTAGTAGACAAACTCTTAACGCGTAGTTAGGATTTGTTGCTATGCGCGGTGAATGAATTTGAAAGCCACACCTCAATGACATCGATCTTGTGTTCTGTTGTATCCATAAGATGAGATAGAATAGCGCTATGCCAGTAGATTTTGTTTGTCCTTTACTTAACCAACCACGCAGGGTGATGTTTGCAAAGCCGATGATAAACACGCCTAATTGTTTAAAATTTAAACAAAAAATCACTGCATGCTTACAATGATGATGATAATAATAATAACAAAAATCACTTTATCCCAAGCAATAATAATCATTCAGATTGGAATTCTCAGCGTTACGTAATCAAGTGAAGGGGGGATAAAGACATCCATTTGATGAGAGCAGGGCGGAGATCAACCCAACAAATAAATTGGATCATAGGTGTGTGACAGCTATTGCCCCAGCAAACTTGAGGAGAATTGAGCTTTTTTGCCTGTTGATAATTTTTGAAGGATTTTGTGATGACCACCTCATGACCCGTATGAAGGAGACACCTGGCAATGGCGCTATCGAAAAAAACTTATTTCCTTGAGACGTAGACTTTTTCGTACATATTCAGAAAATCAGAGGTGTGCCATTCTTTCTGTTCTTCCAATGTGACTGCTTCCGCAGATACGTGTAAATTTGTATACATAGTTAGAGTTGATATGAGGCGAGTATCTGTCGACTTTTGACTGCACCAAAGAGCATATTGTCCAATAAACGGGAACTAACTTAGCTGAAGGATAGGTTCTGGCCAGTGGGGTAGGTATTCAACCTTCCGTTAACTATTCCTGCAATGTTGAGTTGAATGAAGATAGGCTCCTTTCCTACTGTGATGTGTTCCGCATTAGAATCCTCACATCTTCCATATTTGTTAAACCTTGGGGGGGGCGGGTAACTGCTGTCTTTCAACATCTTCTCCAAAAAATCAAAAATTCTTCCTCTAATTTGTCTGTGTAACGTATATTTTCCTGACTATATAGAACAGAGTTTTGAAAGACAAAACTATTCAAATATAAGTATTGTCCATTCCATGTCAGCTTTCGGTGCATTAATCTCTGGAGACCACCATCTTCTAGGCGGTTCACGTCTTCTTAGTTTCAAAAATTACTAGCACTGACAACTCATAATCCTGCTAATAGTCGAAATCAAGACCGTGAGGTTTGTTAAAGAGCATGTTACCATTAAACTATTGCACGCGAATCCCACAGTCGATGCTCATATCACAATGACACAATCTATTGAATTCCCAAATGGTATGAGTTCATGACATAGGTCAATCTACTAACTGACTTTGTGATCATTATCTAACCATTTTGAATTTGATTGATGGATGTCGACTAGCTGTGGATGCACAGGATGCACATTTCGTTTCACTTAAGACTCATTAGTTGGATGTACCTGCATTCCGTTGTGAATGAGTGATGATGTTCCCACTAAGGCTCGAACCTAGTGTCCATGGTTTCAAACGCCAAAGCGCTTTATCCACTAGATCACATGGGCTACGAAATTCATTTTAAAATAAAATCTGACCATTTTGTTTTAATAAATTTTGTAGGTGAGAAGCCCAAGTACAACAGAAAGAAATTCTGCTGTCAATCCTCTATCTTCGCCCACTATGCCTCCATTGAATACAGCCTATCTCCAGGATACACGTCGTTATTTATCTGGTAGTGGTAGTCTATCTGAGAAAAGGAATCATCATCACCAGCACAGTCAATTACAACAACTGCAAACATCTGCTTCTCCATTGCATTCCAGTTTACAAACACGTAAAACTAGTATCCCGTATACAGGGGATGCGAATTTTGGCTATCCTCCTTCACTGAATTCATCTTCACTTCACAACAGTAATAATAATTCAAATATCCAACAGTATTCATCAAGGAATCATCCATTTGTCCCGCCGATCTCTTATCGTCCAGCAACACTAACCACTAATGTCAATTTCGTATCAAGTGCACAACAGTGTAACCAACCGACGACGATGACTGGTATCACTACTGGCACCACCACCACTACGACTTCTGCTACTACCTTTGACCCTACTTCTACTACTACCAATAAATCTTGTATCGTAAGTCGTCGTGAACGATCCTCTAAGGATCATCCCTCAGAGTTAAGCCAAGCTCAACAATATCCTACAGCGTACAGTTCACAGAATAATCTATCATCAATACAATCATCAAAGGCAGAGATGAATGTGACGAGTATACCGGCAAGTAATCCTGTACTCCACAAGTATTCACCGTATACACCGTCATCTCAAATGCAGAATAGTAAGTCACAGTCGCTTAAGTTGATTTTTTGCATTCGTGGATTGGTTTTTAGAGATTTAATTAGTGACAGGACTTCAGTCAGGGGGTGACATCGCTTGGAGAAACATTGGTAAACCTGGGAAGATTAAACAACCAACTGTTTTGTCCTAGCTTTAGACTTTTCAGCAGTACGCAAACTCTGGGGTTCGAACCCAGGACCTCTGATCACTAGGCAACCTCGTTGACCATTAAGCAACTAGAACACTGCAAACCAACACCTGGATATCAGTCTGACGCTCACTAGCGACTGGCCCTATTCGGGTGGGTAGTTGTCTGTGTTCTGGTGAGAGTTTGTGACCAGTAGAGAACAGCAGGTTGAGTGTCAGGAAGAATACTCGCCAGCGATGAAATTGGGTAATAGTCGAGCTATATCATGAATTAACAGAAGCTATAATTGATGCATCGGTGGCAAAACGTCGCCGACTATGCTACATGGTCTGGGATTCGATTCCCGGCCGCCGACGCACTCCTTTACCTCGTTCACTAAGCCAGTAATAAGAGTGGTTAAGAGGGAAGGTTGGCCATGAGGCTAGAAACTCTATCCTGTAAAAATAAACACTGCTACAGAAACTTCAAGCCTCTAGCGTGAAGGTGCACTATGTTCCACTGGGAACGTACAGGATTTAAAAAAATCATGAGCTGGTCATTGAGTTAAGTCCCTGGGGCTGAATGGTCTACGAGCTCACCTTCTAAGTGGGAGGTCCTGGGTTCCAACCCTTGCGGCTGGTGTGTAATGCTGAAGAGTACCAAACTTGGCTGATGAAGCAACTGTCCAGTACTCCGTGTTGGTTTTCGAATGGTTCTGTAACTGATGTCAGCTCATGACCTCCTGCAGTTAGATAAATGAAAATGAGTGCGCTTGTATGTATGTATGTATGTATACGTGTGGAGATGTTGCAGAAGGTCCACCTAATTAATGATAAATTGGCAAGCTAATAATGGTGGTAGGGGGACGAATTTTGTCAACTAGATTAGTCTAGAGATATTTAGCAATATTGTAAAATGTTTCTTATTATGGTAAAAGGCTTACACAACAAAAAATGACAGATTAATTTGCAATAATTGTTGAGGTTATTTCGACCGACGGATCTTTTATATTGGAAATATAAATCGACTTTAAGTACAGACTCTTCGATTATTCTTCAGCATTGTTATAACTTCACTTAGATAGTCGCATGTAGAAGTGAAGTCTAGTGCAAACGCTTTTGTCCTGTTTGGAACACTTCATCTGGGTGAACCTACACCCCCGCAGTCAGGTGTAGTGGTGTCCTAATTGAGATTCGAACTCTGCACCTATGCTGGCACTACGAATAGGAATCATTAAAGCAGAAACCAGAAAATCAACTGTTAAACAATAAAATGACATCTAGGAATAAGGGCAGATGTTCGTAGACTGAATTTCGGAATGACTGATGCAATGTTGATTTTTTGTTATCAGTGAATTGGATAGTTATGAATTCGGTTTTTGAGTTTAGAACCAGTGTGTTGTTTTCCTAACCAACCAACTGACTGCTTTCAACATAGAGAACTGCTTTGCACAGATGTGAAGCAGTTCGACTTGTCACTCTCCCTCCATGTAGCGAACAAAGCGCAATAGAAGAGAGTAAAGAGGGACTCAAGAAAAAAAAGAGATGACAAATAGAAGTGTGAAGTAAAAAGAAGATCAATAAGGTGTAACTGGATATAACAAATCAAAGAGGGTGAGTGCATCTGGAATGAGTTGTGTTATCTCAGCTGGTTGGTTTATTTGCATCTGCGCCTGATATTAAGAAGGCTTTTGATTCATACCATCGATTGTCTCCAGCTTGGAGCACAATGTCACTTAATGGTTTTCTTCGCATGTGTCCACTTCTGCATATTTTTCTACATGCGTATTAGGCAGCAGGTCCTTGTTTGATTCATTACCTGACTGAATCCATTGTTGCTAATCATTTCTGGCCAGTCATCTGAAGTTCAGTATGGAGTAGACGTCAATGGTTCAGTGGTAGAACAGTAGTCAACCGAGCAATTGATGTGGGGTTCAACCTCCAGCCAATTCACTCCTAAACCTCACTTGTTTGGTAAAATACGCACAGTTGCTGGAACTTAAAAGCTCTACCTTGAATCCCTATGTTCTTCTGGGAATATGAAGGAATAAATAAAATATAAAATAAGAATATGAAACCGACGAAGGCAGCTGTCGTTGAACGTTGCTAGCAGGCTGTTTGAAGTACTTTCCATGATACATGTACCGAATCTCTGAATCATATAGCAGCAATAAGTTGACATTAGAGTTGAAAATTCGAATCTTTTTCGTCATGTTGAATGCAACTGGTGTGTGTGTGTGTGTGTGGATTTGTGTGTGTTCATCCCTTTTGATATCTAATCCTCAAACTGTAACGCTTCTTCTTTCTTATAACAATTAGATCAAATGCCAGGGGTTCCACAGCCATCAGAAAACCATCATTCCTCAAATCATCATTCATACTACAACTATCCCCCACATCACTCTTCCGTCCAAACTTTGAAAACTCCACTAACCAACGTGAATACCGAGACTCCTATCAAATCAACCACGAATGTCGCCTTCACACCTTCTAATCATTCATCAAATAAAACCTCACGAAAATCACTAGATAACACAGAACAACGTCGAAAGGCCCGTGAACTCTATGTAGCTTTAAAACAACGTTATCCATCAGCTAGTCAAAACACTCCGACCCACGATGAAGTTCCTACATTATCATCATCATCACAGAATACCCCACCGATGATTGGTCGAGATAATCCGACTGAAACTATCACTGACAAACATTATCCCCAACAACAATCCGAACAGCCACCAAATAAATCACACGAACAGCATTCAGACAGTGGTTTGTTAGTCAAAGATCCAATTAGTCAAAATAATCAAGTGAAACACAATGAAACTGATCGAGATCATCCTGAGACTACACAGAAGTTTGACTCTAAGAATACTTTAGAAGGCCAATCTCAATTGAATATACCGAAAGATTTCAGTGGCTGTGATCAAAAGGCTAATAGTTCATTGATTTCTAATGCTGCCACTGCCACGAACACTACTACTTATAATAATTCTGTTAGTAGTATATTACTTACTGACAATAAATCCAAGCATAGTGCCACTCTTGTGGAAACTATAAAAAATTTAAGTTATCAAGCTGTTTCCCCAGATGACCTCATTCGTCCATGTGGTTATCAATCTGATGGAGGATTAGAGTGTATGAACATTTTCTCTCCAACACATTCAAGTTATAATTCCATGAAACAGCTAACTTCACCGATGTCATATCAGACGACAACAACAAAATCACCCACTAGCACAACCACCAACACAACAAACCAACAACAACAACAGCAACAAATCGATATTAATGATAAATTATATAATCCTTCAAATGTTTTAATTAGTTCATTACCAAGAAATTTAAAAGCGCCATATTTAAATTCATCATTACAATTTATAAATTATCAAGCTAAAAAGAAAAAATCCGATGAAGAGAATAATGAAATGCTGGGAAATTATGCACGTCGTATGCATGAACGTCTACAAGAGGGAATGAGAGCAGCACAAGAGTCTTTATGGATTCCTGACTTGCCTGAGCTGAATATTATGAATCGATTGAATCATTCTGATATCATGAAAAATATAAGGTGAGGCACTTTTTCCCGTATCCGTGTTTTTTCACTCCTTTCCGTTCTGATTGGAACGCATAAGACCTTTAAATTTTGAGATTTCATTAGTTGGAGGATTTCATCATGACCTGATATCAGTTGGAGAATCATTGGGAAACCTGGGAATTTCGTCCTAGTTTGAAACTCGTCATCGGTATGCTGATAAAATCCTCGAACCAATCAAACAAAATCCCTACAAAAGCATTACTTCAAAATTTGAGGTTGCAGTGTTGTCTGTCTTTACGAATCGGGGTTGACACCCCCAAGGCCAATCCTCCTCTGTTTTTCCTTACTATCCGTTAGTAAACTTAGCCATCTAGGAGTATTGTTGGCCAGGAGTCAAACTCCACCTAATAAGAGATTTTTGCAGTGTTTTCGAGATTTCGCTTACCGATAGATAGTGAGAAATAACAACTGGAACGGTGCACTACGATGGCCAGTCTTCTTTACTGGTGACCATAATGCATACTGACCAATGGAAGGAAGGTACAAAGAATCTAAGGAGTAAGCATATGTCACCGATTATTCCACAGTGTAGAATACCTTGTAAAACCGTTAGAGTCCGACGGTGGACCTGAATGGGTTGGCCATTATTATTGTTATTATATCCCTCCATTCCTAGAGGAACATAGGCTTTCATCCGTGCGTCTTCATTGGGTTCGGTTTTCTGCCAACTTTTTCAACCCGCTCCAAGTCTCCCCACACGCTTTAATCTTCTCTTCACACGATCTCCTACAAGTCACCCTTGCACTGACAACCAACTCACCGCTTCCCTTTTGGGTTCCACTCCAGCAATGGCTTGTCTAGGGATGTCAATTGACGATTTGTTTGCTCAGAGTATGGCCAGCCAATTCATCTCCATTTCTTCCTGCCTATTTGTTTCACAACCGGTTCCTGCTGGGTTGATTCGCTCATTGCCAGAAGTCTCTATTGCTGATTCTTTCTGGCCATCTGATCTTGAGTATTGAGCGAAGACAGCTAGCTGTTGATGAAGGTCTGTCGTTTGTCTGAGATGCTCTTTATGACGCACTGGTCAAGTCTCTGATCCGTATAGTGAGTAGCACTGACTGACTTCACATTGGAGTTGAAATTCCAGATCTTATTTTTGATTCTGAGTGCTGTTGACCTCCTGCACACAGACTTAAGAGTAATGAAGTCTTGTCTTGCTTTTCCGATATTCGCTTCTTTGATATCTTCGTCAGTTCCGCCCGCCTGTAGTTGAAACAATGCTTCTCAGGTCGGTAGGTTGGTGAAGGAGGTTGTTTCTTTCAGTTTACTCCCATTCATGCTGACTGCTGTTTGTTGTTGTTGCTGTTGGTGTTGGTCAGGAATCTTCATCACCTCTGATTTCTGTACGTCCTCTTCCTGAAGGAAGTTCTATCTTTGATGCTTCTTCTGCCAACTTGTTCCTGTTCACTTGCATATCTTCTAATTGGTGGGAAATCAGACATATAACATCATCGGCGAAGTCCAGATCCTCCAAGTATTTTGCGCGAGTCCATTTTATACCTGTTTTCTCATTGCCCGTTGTATGTCGCATTATCCAATCTACTGCAGTCGAGAAGATCATTGGCGATAGTAGGCAGCAAGCCTTGTCTCACTACCGTCTTTACTTCGAAGGCTTCCTTAAGTTTCGCGTCGTGGATTACCTGGCATGCAGCATTGTCGTATAACTGTTGGATGAGATACATAATTGTCGATGAGACCCCATGGTGGTAGCGAAGTAGTTTCCAAATCACCTCTCGATCGACGTTGTGCTATCGAAGGCCTTTTCAAAGTCGATGAAGTTGAGTGAGATAGAGAACTGATTGACTGCCATTCCAAGCTTTGTTCATGTGGTGATACGTAGTGTGGCGATTTGATCAATACACGAGTTGTTCCTCCTGAATCCAGCTTGTTCCGGTCGAAGTTTTTCATACAGCGTGGCATGTTTGATTCTCTCTAGGATGATGCGGCTTAGTATTTTGCTTGGGATGGGTAGGAGCTTAATTCCGCGCCAGTTTTTGCATTGACTTAAGTCTCCTTTCTTCGGTAGTTTGAATAAGTATCCTTTCTTCCAATCCTCAGGTACTTTGCCCTCCTTCCACACCTTCTCCAGTAGTGGTGTCATTAAGTCCGCTGTTGTCTCTGGGTCCATTTTCAATGCTTCTACTGGGATTCCATCTGGTTCTGCTGTTTTTCCAGCTTTTAGCATCTTGATTGCATTCAGGACTTCTGATTTCGTCGGGGGATCGATGTTCACTGGTAGTTCTGCTTCCGTTGTCGGTATTGTTGGACTCGTTGTAGGTGGCGGTCGAATTAGAAGTCTTTTGAAGTGTCCAGCCCAGTGTTTTCTTTGCTCCACTTCTTTGGTGATTGACTTTCCATTGTCATCCTTTACTGGCTTAATCTATGTGAATGCAGAAGATAATAATAATAGTAGTACGAAATGCAATTAAAATTAAAATGTTTGTGATTATAATCGTAGTTAAATGTCAAGTGGCAAAAATCAAATTAATGTCTTATATAGAATAACTCGTAGGATGAACAGAACTTGAAAAAGGGTGTGCAATTTTGGGATTAGTTGACAAGTGCAATAAAATAAAAACGTTACGTAATACTGTGTGAAATTTAATAGCATAGAATTTAACGTTTTAAAAGAGAATTGATTTAGAATGACAAGTGGAACAAGTGAAATAATACCGGGGACAGTTCAAAGTGAGAATAGTAATAATAACAATTGACTTAATAAGAGAAGAGTATACAAACTGAATAGACAAAATGAAAAAATGAAAAATTGGTACAGCCAAAATGATTAGGAATTACCATATTTCACCATAGAGGTGGGATTAAAACCATGAAAGTTGAAGTGGTTGAACGAACGTTTTCTGTACACAGAGATCTGGCCTTTCTGTTTCGATAGCCAAAGATGGCTTCAGCAATACAAAAGAGTCGGGTACGTAGCGATTTGGGTAAATCACTTTTTGCCTTGTAGATGACTTTAAAGGCGGAGGCTATAGAGATAGGGTGATCATTATTGAGGAGATGTTCAATCATCGCGCTTCATATTGCTGCACTTCCACCTTTTCGTAACTATCATGCAGGATAGTGTTCTTGCACCCTCTTGGACAAAATTCGAGTCGGGCGACCGATATACCTAGCTCCACACCTATGATTCAATTCCCTCACGGGATATAACTTCTTAAAAACTATATATATATATATATATATATATATATATATATATATACGATTGTACAACTTGATAATAAATTCGTTGGACAGAGTCTCTTCACTGAATCACTTGTTTTGATTTTCTATACGTTACAACGGGGATTTTCCATGAATTGAAAAATATAGCCTAAGGGCCCGGCCAACCAACAACAACAGCAACACCCAGCGCCGATCATCATCAACGGGAGGGATTTGAAAGAGGTTACTTCATTCACTTATCTAGCATTGAGCATTGTCTCAGCTACAGCCAGTCGGAACGGATGAGGATGTCAAATCGAGCGAGAATCGGGAAGGCGAGCGAGAAACACATTCATCAACCTGAAGCCAATCTGGAAATCTTCGTCACTCAGCCAGCATCAACAAAAAAATTCAGTCGGATTTTCAATACAAACAACGTCAAGTCAGTCAGTTCTTCTATACGGATCAGAAACTTGGCAGGCGGGCGGGCGGGTCACAAAGAATATTTCCAACAGCCTGTTTCAGACGTTTATCAACAACAACTGTCTTCGCTAGCTCTATTCTGAAGATCAGATGGCCGGGCCGGAAAGAATCACCAACAACAAACTATGGGAACAAACAAACAAAACAAGAACCAATCGCCAACCAACCAATATGCAAGAGAAAGTGGAGATGTATTAGACACTCACTCGCTAAGGAGGTCGCTGGGTGACATCGGGCGCGCATCAGTCCATTGCTCGAGTGGAACCCGAAAGGGAAGCACGCTTCGAGTGTGACGTCAATGCAAGGTTAACATGGAGGAGGTCGTGTGAAGAGGAGTTGAGACAGTATGGACTAACATGGATGGATGCAGGTGAAAAGTACAACAGAAGGAAGACAGAAGTGGCAAGTGGAGACGTGCAGCTGAAGCCCCATATTCCACTAGGAAGCCAAGGGAACAATAATAATAATAATAAATAAGTGTCCGGAGTCCAAACATTGATAAGTTAATTGGTGCACAGTGTTGAATAATCGCAAACTAGGACGAAACAGCTTTCCAATATGCCATGTTTCTCTCTCTCTCTCTCAATGACTTTATAAATAAATTCGATTCATGACTATCTCTAGAGTGACCAAAATGCCTCATATTATCAAAATATTTTTGATAGTTGTCGATATTTCATTCTGCCTATTTCTTCTGCATTCTTATTTAGTTCGTCAATGAATGAAGGAAATAAAACCACATCATTGTCGGAGAGTGAAACAGACCATTTGTCATGTTCTAATCAAAATGATGAGCCAAAAGTCAAAATGACGCCAATGAATCCAAATTTAAATCTAGACAAAATGTCTTCACCGTTATCAATCAGTGAAACGGGTCATCTACCGCATCCGTTGAATTCACGAGTCAATTGTTATTCATCTTTAAATTTAGGATTTCATTTAACCAATACTTCTGTCAACAGTGGTGGTGGTGGGAATCGACCACAGGAAGGCAGTCAAGCAATTACGAAAGGTTTTAATTCTCAATCAATTAATAATATAAAGGTCAATAATAATAACAATAGTAATAATGACAACAGTAATGATGTACACGGCGAATATTCTCATTGGGATTTAAAAAATGGCGTGTGTTCTGATGTCGAAGATCTACTGAATCAACATGAACGACGTCTGCTGTCACTTTCATCAGGAACTGGTAAGATTCGGTTTCCATTGTTTGTATGCTTGTTTTTGGAAGTTATGAACACCTTCAAGTTGTTAGATTTCACCGAATTATTAGAAACGAAAGACAACAGGTCTGTTAACAGTGTGAGTAGTGTTCAACGTGATTTTGGCGCTTTATTGAAGAGAACTGGTGTGAGTTGAAGACGGTATGTCATGTGCGCCCTACCTCGTCCCCCCTCGCTGTTGCTGCCTAATGTCTGCTACAGATTAGTCTATCATCATTGAAATTAACACATTTTGCAATTGTCGCGCACTCAAGGCTTTTTTATTACACTTCCCGCCTTTGTAA